TAATAAAAATTGCATTGATTTTCACCATAACCTAAGACTATTATTAAATTATATAATAAATTCAATATTCATTATAGAATGGGTTTATTGGTCAGTTAATTAAAGCACTAAGCCTAAGTGGATCCCTGCGGATCGCCGGTATAACCTAAATTAACCTAATTAAAGCACATTTAATTGGTGTTTAAATAATGTTTTTAAATCGTCCAAGTTCCACAAAAAATGAATACAGAATATAGTCGAAATATCGGAAATTAATTTCAATAAACGACGCTACTTACAAAAACAGTAAATTTTTTTCCAATTAACCTACTAATTAGCCTGTTCCATAATTAATATTAAGTTTTTGGTTATGAAAATGAAAAATATTTATAATAAATAAAATCTATTGTTTAAATATTTTTAGGGTGATAATTTCGACAATGACGATAAGCCGCAAGATAAAAAATCGCCTGGGTCAAATGGGTTAGGAGGAACATTTAGTCTTGGTAGTCTTTCGGAGGGTAATCGCTGTTCCTGTTAATTTATTTCTAACAAAATTTTTATAACACCAACAAGAATGAGTTGTCCAGTAAAAATTAAACAAAAACAAACAGAAAATGTAGTCAATAGAATTAATTAAAATCTAGTATAACAAAATAATTTAAATAAAAAAAAGTTATATAAAAAATTTAACTATAACTTATTTGAAATAAAAGCATATATATATATATACATATAGATAATATATACATTATATAAATTATTTTAAGCGTACAGAATATGCATTTTATATAAAATTAGTTACATTTTAAATATATTACATTAAAAAAAAATTAACTATGAAATATAAAAATAGAAAATGAATTGCAATTTTTATATATATATTTGCAAAAAAAAATTAAGAACTTAATTTAAAATAATACGTTGTAAAAAAATTTATAATATTTTTAATTAATTTTAAAATATGAGTTTAAGCAATTTTTGTATATGCATATATAATAATAGCTTTTTCACTTATATAGTTAAATAATAGTTATACACAAATATACCAAACGCAAAAAATGAGACAGGTTTTATAAACAATGCGTATCCCCCTTTTAATAATCTGTAAATTGGTTTTATCTGAGACCATTAAAGTAATGACATTTTAATAATAAACCACAAACGGATTGCTTAATTATTATACCATATATGTAGTAGAAGACATATATAAAAATACATATATATTTAATAACAAAATTTGTAAAGTGTGATCCATTGTATATACGAATTATATGCTAATGACGTACATAATATTTTTTATAACAATGTTTAAATTGCTGCTTTCAATTGTTTTTATTTTTTTTAATATTTTTAACCATATTAAAATCCAATTATAATAGCATATATGCATATATACAATTAAACTATAAAATTAAATATATGCGTGCGTAGTGGATGGTGAGAATAAAAATTAAATGCTTAATAGTTAACAGTGGTTAATAGTTATAGCCAGCAGTATAAGTTATAACTTTTAAGTTAAATGATATTAATATATAAATTATTTAACTAATTAATTAATGATTAATTAGTGATTCATTCATGTGCATCTGGGCAGTTTTACCTTTTAATATCTGGGGGGTTTCTGCAGAGTCCCACCCTTCTCACTGACTAATTTAAATATTCCTCAAAAGCTCCGTGATTATTCGATAACTGATACCGATGACTGCGTACCGCCCCGTGCGGTTAGAGAATATTTTGAGATTAGATAGTGCTAAGTAGAGCAGCCTGTCGATTTTTGCGAATAGCTTCAGGGCTCTGTCGCTTATATATATTTTGACATATGCTATATTTAAAAAGCACAATAATAAGAGCAGATTTCACAATCGTAAACTTAGTTTCAATACTGATTAAAGTCATTCGCAAGTAAACAACTTTGCTGGCAGAGTTGAGTTGCTGGTGGGATATTTAACGGGTCACCATGGACTACGTTATCACCTTAACAAAATGGGTCTGTCCGATTGTCGACTCATTCTCTGTGACTGCCCAGCCTTAATATGCACCAGGAGGAGGTCAATGGGTCGAGAACTATCCTCTCCTTCTGACATTAAGAGGTTCTCAACGGCCGACATTCTGGCTTTCATTCGGAAGGCGTTCGGTTAGGGTCTGTTGGAGCACAAAAGATCAATCTGGTCAAAGTGCTCCGCTCCGCTGGGAGTTAGTACCATGTTTATTCCTAGTCCTAATCAACTTTGCTGACTTAATTCACACTTTAGTCAGTTTTAAGCCTTACTATGAAATCAGCTCTAAGACAAACCACAATTAGCGCAATTAAATGCCACATTAATTGTAAGGTATTGTGTTTATAGTTCAGTATTAGACAAATTTGATTATTTTTTATTCGAACTGAAAGACATTTTCAATGTTTGAATTAATTACTACAAAATCTCCTAAATACATATTTAAGAGATATATAAAAAATATGAGTTTGCAGATTTTTTATCTCACACCATCCATTTGTATTAATAATTTAGACTTTTAGATTATTATTTATTATTACTTTTTATTGAAACCCTAATCAATTGACATGCTTTTGGAAAGTAATTATATAAAATTTTAGTGGTTAATTAAATATAAAGTTATTTGATTTATTAGAAAAAAATTTCCTTATCGTTTCACACTTGAATGGAAGTAGTGAGTTTCATTTAGTTATCAGAGAAGGGTGTGACGGGCGATAAGTAAACCCGGTCATTTTTAAAACCTTTGAAAATAAATAGTTCACATTACTCTAAGTTGAGTTATTTCATATTCAATATATGCTTAAGAAAAATCAATTAAATTTCAGTAATAATGCCAATAATTTACTAATTTTGTATTGATTTTAGTTAGTATGTATTCCTTATTGAACAGGATTGCATTATTGAACAGGTTGGCCTAGGCTTCTTAGGTCGTGTGCGAGTTAGGCTAAGTTGCGTTCTAAATAAGGGAAATTCTAAGTTGTGCCGATAATATAGTGATGTGTCGATACGTGTTGATAAATGGCTAAATGTGTGCAGTGCAAAAAATCCCAAGAAAAGTCCCATTTGGTTTAGCATCCACTTAGCCTAATTCGCACATGTCCTTAGTAATTCGTAATTTCGGTTACAATTTCTTTTTCGAATGAATTTTTTTACTTTAATTTAATAATTTCAATTTTATTTATATCTTATTGAAATATTAATATTTGAAAAGCTTCTAAAAGCTTAAGATTAATGTTTCTTCAACACCATCCAAAAATTTCAGATATGGTGTTGTGTTCTTATAAATCTAGAAAAACATTTTGATTAAAAAACATTTTGTTTTTGAATCGCATGAAAAGCTACACTAATAACATCGCATAGTGAATGGGATTGAAGGACTTAAACCTCCGACATGCATTGAAGCATTATACTCATACATATGTGTATATTCATTGTTAATAGAATATGCCTGTTTAATAAGATAAAATGTTTTTTAAAATACTAAGATGACTAAAATTATTAAAATTTTCGAAGAAGTGTATAGCAACCTAACTTATAGTTATATATAGCTTAGACTAATCTTTTTAATTAGTCCACGCAGAATCGTTTAGAACTAGCTCTTTCAATATAAAGAAAAAAAGAGAGAGAAAAGGAGTAATGAGAGAGGGAGAGATGAGAAATTTTGTCGTAGGAAATATATAATTTTCCATAACAAAACTACAAAAGTTTCACTAACATCCCAGTTATTTTATCCTACTTGGTTTCTCCATCTCTGGAATTTGTCTATTTAAAGAGATAACTTCCATTAAAGACAGACGTAATACAATTAATCTATTGCCATTTTAGTTGGACCTAACTAATATCAATGTTTTGCTTATTTTTAATGGAATAGTAATGTGGGTCATTTTTAAAAAACTTTTAAATATATTTTTATCTTTACATAAGAAGGATGTCTACCATGTTGAATAAGAAAAGTTTGAAAATAGAAAATTTTAACGGAAAAATCAGTAAGAATAGAAAACAAATCCACTTTTTATTTTGAATTTGTCAAGACTGTGGTATGAAGTTTATACTATAAGTTCTTTAACTAATAGTAGTATTACCACAAGAATATAGTACAGGAAATTATTGAGACGGTACCTGTTTTACCAAAGAACTCAAAGATTTCATATAGTAGTAGATTTACACATTAAGTTTAAGAGATGTAAAGTTATAATCTAGTTGCTTAGATTGAGGTCAGAATTTTATTGTATATTAAAGGTATATTTTTCAAATAGGAGTCAGAATAAATCTCTTTCTGCTAAGAACAGTAAGCAAAATTTTTATTAATTAACAAAACCCCTTGCAATAAAAAAAGCTTGCGAATTAAAGATTTGGCACAGTTTTTAGCTTCAGCTTAAAAATAATATAACTATTTTTCACCAAACACTTTTGCGAATATATAATATGTATAATACAAAAAAAAAAAAAAGAAACTGAGTTTATTAATTAAACTTATTATTATTGTTAATTCATTTTTATTCGTTTATATATTTTTTTTTTTTGAGTAGTGCACTGAGAAGAACAGTCCCAACGAAAAGTTTCATAAAATTTTTTTACTATGCATAAAAAGGATTAAATTTAAAAAAATGTAATAATTGATTTAATTATTATTGTTTCTATAATATTTTATATATCTCACTGTAAATATTATACACAAAAAACTAATTTTAACATTACTATAGAATGGAAAGTATAGACGTTTAAACCCCTCAAGTAACGAGTACATATTATTTTCTAGTCAATTAATATCTTAGTGCATTTTATTTTGTGCTAAATTTTGCTGAAAATCTTTAAAAAAAAATAAATAAATTATTACTAAAAAAAATATTATATGAAAAATTTAAAATAAAGTCAACTTCGTAATAAAAA